CAGATGTGGCCCCACCAGTGCTGAGCAGAGGGGAAGGATCACCTCCCTCAGCCTGCTGGCCATGCTTTGCCTAATGTAGCCCAGGATACCATTTGCCTTCTTTGCAGCAAGGACGTGCTTCTGGCTCATGTTCAACCTCGTGTCCATCAGGACCCCCAGGTCCTTTTCTGCCAAGCTGCTTTCCAGCTGGGTGGCCCTCAGCATATACTGATGCATGGGGTTGTTCTTCCCCAGATGCAGGACTTTGCAGTTCTCTTTGTTGAACTTCATGAGATCCCTGTCAACCCATTTCCCCAGCCTGTCAAGGTCCCTTTTACGTGACAATCCCTTTTACATCACCTTAGAGCCCATGAGAACTGCAAATGATGGTACTCCTAATGTCTTTGTATATGTGCATCTATGTTGTGTATGGAGCTGGAATATTGGCTGGTGTGTCGAATCAAGGTCTGGCATTGGGCTGCCAAAACAGCAGCCACCGCTACCGAGCAGGAATAGTAGTGGAAGGTATTGGAGTACACTGTCTGAGGGACTCCAGTTGCTGCGTTTGGGAATATTGCCATTGCTGTCATTGGCTTTATTGATAGAATACGACTATGATCAGCATGGCTGAGTCGGCCCTTAGAAGAAATATGAAAATACACGTTATACGGGCTGGCCTGGAGGGGCTGAAATACATCTTCTGGAAGCTAAGCAACCTGAGGTACAGGCTGAGCACTGCTGGGTATTTCTTTCTGTTCAGGGAGTTCCCTTTTACGTCCTTGCCTGTCCTCTGGACAGAGAGTTAAGCAGAAGCAATCAAGTGCCACAAATGTTGCTAATAGTCTACAACAAAAGGAACTCAGCAGTTTCAAAGTCAAAGAGGAGGCCGTAGACCGCAGCATAGACATGAATATTGGATGATGTATCAAAAGCTATGTGTATAATCACTGCATGTTGCTTGTGTCATCATGAGTCATCTACTGCTTGTTACTCATTTGCGTGAAGATTAAATCTGCTTGTCCAGTTGTATTATATGAGTGCAAGTGCGCACAGAGCACAAATAACCACAGGTTACAACCACCAAAAATCCTTATTTTGTGTGTCTGTTCTTTAGAACAAAGGCAGTAAGGAATGAGAAATTATAAGAAGAGAGAGTATACCAAGTTCTTCAGTATGCCATTTGTCTAAGGAAATGAAGATTGGCACAATATCTTTTTTAACTAGGAAAAAATGAAATAGTGCTGATAGCTCTCATTAGCTATTGTTGCCCTAGAAAGATCGTGTAACTGTTCTTTTCTTCCTGATTGCTCATTGTTTGTTTCTACAATGGAGTTCTCCATCATGACTCTTCCATTTTCTCCTGACTTTTCATGACAATTGTTAAGAAAAACTGAACATAATCCAATCTCTTTCTATACATAATGCTTTAAAGTAAAGGGCAAGAATGCTTCTAGCACAAAGCACATTAATCCCAATTCTCACTGAGAAAAGGAGATGAGCAGGAATATTCTTCAGCATATTCAATCACCAAAGAGATCATAGAAGATCTTGGTAAGATCAGCGACTGTTGGTTTCCCTCTTCTCTTGCTTTACATCCTCTGAAGCTGGGTGACACATGTCTTCCATTGCTGTCTCTGGTAGAACCAATGTATCTGTCATCTTTCTGGCATCTCTGCTGCTTTGATCACTGCTACAACTCTGCAAGTCCCAGTGACTCAGCCTGTCACTGAGTCCAGTGTCTTAGTTCTTCATCTTCTCTGTGCTGCATTTGACAGTAAGTAGGGGTGCTATGAAGCAGCTGTTTGCTGCTATGAAAAAGACCAAGATGATTGTTTGAAGTTGCCATTATTTTGTCCAGGGTCTTCTGTGCAGAGACATACAAGCGCACACAGATGTGACTGCACACAGTGAGCATCTGTCCAGTCAATTGGTCCAATGTCCCCAAGAAATGCTGGGCTCACTTGCTGTATGCCATGGCATTCCTCTCTGCATGAACAAAAGCTGCTTCTTCCGGATGCCTGCAGTGAGGCTCTTGCTCTCTAATATTACCTCACTCACTGAATCAGATATTTCTCCTTTAAAGCACTGGGTATAAGATCTGTGTTATGTTATTAAAATAGATATATGAAAATACATTCAGTATTATTGGAAACTTGTTTCCATGTGGCTATTAGAACTAATACTGTAAGGTATTTGGAAGAAAGAAAGAAGGCCTTTGCTTTGGGGTGTAGATTACATATGACTAGTAGAGTTTGGAATGAGACATTCCCAGAAGTCAGATCCACTTGCTGCTTTTGTTTCCGAGAAGTGGCTGATGTTGAAGAAGACTCTGGACTAGAGAAATGCAGAGTTTGGTTTCATCCTCCTTTTGTTCAGATACTCACCATGTAAGAGTCTGGGATGATAGCTCATAAACGTGTATCACTGTTTCTCAAAGATGATGTGGGTGTTGTATAGGATTCCTGCATTTGCACTGAAAGAGAGCTCAGAGGCAGGCTTTAGGGCTCCTGATATTTGAAGTGGAGGGGTTACACATCAAAATGAAGGTGGAAGTGGATGGCATTCATTACACTCAATCTTGCTTTGCTGATCAAGATCTGTTCTCTGATAAGTCTTTTGAACAAGAAACATGAGACGCTTATTTATCCTTCCGAAAAGAAGGTTTTCATGAGCAGGGAAGATGTAGTGCAGGAGACAGAGGCATCGTGCTCTGATAAGGTAGAATACATGGTTTGTGATGGTTCACAGCTCTGCCACGGTCCTGCCCAGTCATTTTCAGGAAGTCATGTACACTTCTATTTCTGTACTTGTAGAATGGAATGAAGAATGAGAAGATCAGAGGAAGAAGTTAGTGTGGATGTGGGGAGCACTCCTAACTTCAAGATTTTTTTTGTTTTTTTTCATTTCTCATCTAGAGGGAAGTCGGAAAATGAAGTCATTTTCCTTTTGGGGTGATGAAGAACTCCTTGATTCCAACATGCCTTTCCCTCTCCAATACTTATGTAGACCCAGCTGGACATTCTAAGTATCTCATAGTGTTGATTGTGTTTGTGGGCTCCACACCTGAGCTGGAAAGATATGATGAGGGAAAGGAAGAGTCAGACTCAATAAAACAGGGATTTCTTATGAACGCTATACTGGAAGAGGGTTTCCATATCCAGCTAAGCACTGAAGCTTCCTACTAAGTGTCTGGAGAGTCAGATGTTTGCTACAGAGACTCAAATCAGTAACCATTCTGCACAGAGAGCTTTAGCACTGGCCAAAAGAAGCGGCCAAGTGTAAGGGCTTTCAGGGATGTAACTTAGATCCAACCACCTGAATCCCACTCAGACCTGGTCTCAGAGGCAGGGGTTATAAGATGCCCTAAAACATATTTAGCTTGGGAGGTTGAATAATAATAAATGGAGCAGTGAGGAAACAAGTCTAATCACCTGTTTAGACTTCAGGGGAAAATTGCACAAAAAAGTTGCACAGAAAATGGCAGTCTATACAGTTCTTCAGTAAGAAAGAAAGGAAAGTATGTGAATTTGTCTGTAAACTAGTAACAGAAGTGGAAACCGAGGTCCTTAACCTTTAGCACAAGTTTCTGTAGCACACCCAAAGGTTACTAGTCATTTTATTTTATTTTATTTGGCCTTGTCACTCCAGGAAGAAACAATGAAAAAGTGCAAATAGACAACAGCAGTATGAAATTGAGTGCTCTGTACAGATATGGTGTAATCTGGAGCGTCTAGGTGAACTGTTCCTTGTTGTTTTCCATGTGAACTTTCCATATCTGTAGGAAAAAGCACCTTTTCAAAAGTCTTTCTGCCTTTTTTCAATAGCTGTTTTCAACAGCACTTTTAGAAACATTCAATTTGATGCTTTTATTTGACATCTTATTTTCCTGATGGCTGGGTGCTGAACTAGAGCTGAATGACCATGGCAGAGGCCCAAGAAGAAATTGGGTAAAGGGCAGTAAGAACATTGCGAAGAGTTCATTAGGAAGTTGTTTATATGCGGCCTTTGGGGATCTTTCTGAATTTCCTGTTGTATTTTAATTCTCTTGTTTCTAAGAAGGTTCATAATAAGCATGGAAAAACACTGTTGCATAGGATTGGATGTGCTTTTGATGGGTGCGGGAAGGTGGTTTGTACAGCACAACTGCATAGTTTTCTCTCTGAGTTCATTGGGACGCGGAGTGCTTGCCAGAAAATGGACTCCCCTCCTCGGCCCCACTGCTACTACACGCAGTTCCCAGCGCTCCTCAGGGTGACATTGCAATTGGACATGAAATCTCTTTGCTTCAGTAAAGTAATTAGTGATTTTCACTCACATTCTGGAAGAACTGGCATCTTGGAAAAAGATCAGAAGTGGTTTCATTTTCACAGAGGGCGGGTGAATGTCTCCTAACCCAGGTGTATGCAGTTCTGAAATCTGTTCAGAGACGTCCTTGTGTGGCCTCCCCAGCCTGCCCGCCCTGGGGTGAGGACATGTGATTATCTTGCTCCTTCTTCAGGTTCTTTGCAGAAGTTTTACCAATAATGTTGTTGCAGAGGAAGACTCTAGAAAATCAATATCTCTAGAAATGTTGCATCTAGTTTACAGTGGGATAAATGGGAGGGGAGCAGAGCAAGAAGTTTACTGCACACACACCATTCTTCTAGGTGGAACATGAAGAACCTAAACTTTTCTGCCTATTTCTGAATACATCATTTAACAGCTTTTTAAAAGACTGTATTAACATTAAGCTTTCTTTTGCAATGCTTTTCTCATACCTTTGCTGTCTTCTGAACCCATATGCTGTAAGAGAACATTATCAATATGTATCTTTAAATACTTGTTGTTTCTAGATGTGTTTATGTCCTTTATTTCTCTTCTTCCCTCCTCACCAGGCTATTCTAGTCCTCACAGAGGTGGGATAAGCTGATTTGCCTTGTGAATAATCTGTTCTGTAACCTTTTCTTATATCTGTGAAATTGCTAGGCTGGTTAAAGTCCAGCACAGAGTGTTCATCTCTCTTTTGTTTTGTTCTGTACCAGGAAATGCCTACAGAGAATGCCTGGGCAATGGGACATGGGCTTCCAAGATCAACTACTCTCAGTGCGAGCCTATTCTGGATGACAAGGTCTGTATTTTTCCCTTTATTGTCTCAACGACTTTTCTCAGCATACATGAATGCAAAGCTAAGCTTAAGGTTAACAGACTAGTTTGGGACTTCTGAGACAGATTCCATTTCTGTCTCTGCAACAAATCCTCCCTGTGAATCCAGGAAAATCACTTATCCTCTCTCCATATCCCCTACTCACATGCTTTTTTTAAAAAGGTTGCTTTATTACACTCTGTCCCTGATGATGTGTGTTTATGCAGATCCTTCCTAGCTTTGTTCAGAGCCTACAGCTGCTACCGTAAATGTTAGTAATAATAACAAGACCAAAAGCTTCTTTGGCACTGAAAAACATGCTTTCACCAGCTGATTCCACCCTGTACCTATCAGTTCTGAGGCTTCATCAACAACAGGCCTTTCCAGATCTCAGTGTCTGTTTTCCCTCAGCAAATATGTACAGAGGCAGCAGCAGAAAAATACATAAAAAGCACTCGAGTCCCAGCTGTCTTTGAAAGATTGAGCCAGTCTTGCATTATATAGGAGTTTACAGAATGAAATTAGCATACAGGGTTAAGCTCCTTCAGAAAGGCTGCAAGCAATTATGCAAAGTCGTTTTCTTGTCAAATGTCTCAGCTTTTTTTGGGGACCTCACAGACATTCATCCTCACATAGTTTAAACCTTCAAGCCTTTCACGCCATGCTCTCTTTCTCTTCCTCCTGTTTGCATGCTGTGGTGGGACGCAAGCACACATAGGCTTTGTGATGTCTCTCTGCCAGGGATGACTCCCCTCTGAGAACCAGAGTGAAGCGCAGCAGCTCAGGCCTGTTTAGGTTTTGGGGTTCATTCCACTCATTCTGTCATTGGAGTTGTGCCATGCCAGTTGCAAACAGGGAGGAGGAAGATGAGGTCTCACCTACTGAGGGCTGCTTGCAGAGCTAATCCGGATTTAGTACTCGAGAGCTATCTGGACTAGTGCTGTACCCAAAACTGTCGTGATGTGCTTTGGCTGTGGCCCAGCATCCATCCTGTAAGATCCATGTTGTTGCTGAGTGTGGGCTTTGACAAGTGAGTTTTAGAAACCAGATATCTACACACCAGCTGATGAGGAGTGCCTACTCTTACCCACTGGCTAGGTAATTTGGTGGTAGTCCACTCCCCCACACCTCCATTTGCTACAGGCTTCTAGAAGGTAAGAAAAAATGCACCAGTACATGACTGCCATCCAGAGGGACTGATACACATTCATGGTGGCCTAGCATAGTGGAGAGGCTCCCATGGCAATGTGAGCTGATCTACGTTGGGACCACCCCAGTGCAGACCCTCCTTACTTTTCTTTCCCACTTGAAATGGAAAACTAATTTTTTTGCTGGGTCATTTTTCATAGGAATCAGTTCCCTAAACCATCTTATTGCATTATTGCAAGAGTGCTGGGGCCGAGCAAGAGGAGTGAAAGAGTGGCTGGGGCTGAGGGGGGACAGCAGACCATGGTAGCAGACCCTCTCTGACTGAAATGGTTTTGCACTTCTGTGAAACCATCCTCTTGAAAATGAGCAGGAGGAGTTGGGGCTGTAGTAGCAGGTGCTGATTTAGAGAATGGGGAACAAAGCTGGGCAAAGACTCAGAACCTTTGACCTGGTTTAGCTGGTATGGGGCACCTGAGCTGGCAGTAGCAGTCTGCTGTACCAGCTCAGCAAAACGCTGAGCAAATGCATGAGCAAATACAGAAGAGTGTTGTCTGAAGAAGCTGGAGAAGTGTTGTGACTAGAAGACAGGATTATTTCCTTTACACTGTTTTTGCTTTTAAAAACATTGCAGCTATGGTGATAACTTAAAACTTCTTAAATAGCATGTTCCTTAAACAGAGGAAAGTGCAGATGTTCCTCCACGCTTGTTTGCAAAAGCTCAAAACCTCATTTATTAGATCTTTAAAGATTTGCAACAAGCTTTGCAAATATTAATATTTGTGAATATTTTTGAAATCTCTACATAATGCTCAGTGTTACAGATGAATACTTGGGTTGCTTTGGGATTTTAAAAAAAAAAAAAAAAATCCCCACAGATTTCCGTAATCCTCCATTTTGATTAAAGGTGAGATGCAAGCACACATGTGGGTCTATTGTTATTTATTGACTGATCCTATCTGCTAAGCATCAGCCAGGAGGTATGCCCTGTGTTTTGTGTTTATTTTTAGTATAGAAAACAACATTGCTTTCAAGCTTAGCCTCTCACAGTCAGAGTGCTAAAGAATCGCGTGGTTGGACTTCAGATGCGATGACTGATACACGGGACAGGAACAGGACTTTTAAAGATCAGTCCGATGTCCAGTGCTGCATGCTTTATGACAGAGTGTTGGTAATGTAGCAAGGGAAATTTTAGGCTTTTTCAGCTGTGGGTCAGGCTTAGGGGACATAAGCTCCTGTAACACACACTCACTAGATTCCATTAATACATCATTGCTTTACTTGCGGTCAAGCCCTGTGGCAGTAGCTGATACAGCTGTGCTCTGGGACTGCTTCGCCCCTAGATTCCCGCTTTGGCTGGGGTCTAGTTGCCTGCATGTAGTTACACAGCATAGTTTAAAATGCCCCAGTGTGTCTCCATGCACCTGGCAGGCGTGTCACGGGCCTTCTGGAATACCTGTGTCCTCCAGCAACTGGAGATCAGTCATCAGGACCAGCTGGGAAGCACAGAGTCTGCTGAGCGCACCTGAAGGGACGCTGGATGCCTACCTCTGTGTGCGCAACTGGTTCTAGCCCTTGCTTCAGGTGTTGATTCAGATGTTGGGTAGATGTGTCCTAATGTCACACTGAATCCAGTTATCTGAACAATCAGTTAGCTCCTTCTCCAGGCACAGGAATTGGGTACAGAAATCATTTTGATCCACCTGGCTGTTTGATGGTGTAATGTGTGACAAATGGAAAGCTTCTACTCAGCCTACAAGCTCCTGTGTCAAAAGGACCTTCGCTGCGTCTGGCACAAATCTGTGCTCTTGTTAGAAGACAAATGGGAGTCTCAGGCAGGAAAAAATACATCTTAGCCTCCAAAAAGAGCTATAAATTAGGAACTTTGTCTTGTCTATGTGGCTTATGGCAGCTAGATATGAGTTTGGTTCTGCTAATGTTTTGAAGTGGCTTCAAGCTGTGTAGCTGAGTTAGCACCATGCTGGTCTTAAGTTAATGTATCCTGCTTAGGAGCACAGTTACATCAGCCACAGCTACCCAGCTTCCAGCTGGCTCAGAAGAGGAAAACAGTGAACTCAGAGGCATCTTGGATGACAGAGATACTTCCCGGTTGCTTTTGAAAGTCTTTGGAGAGGAGATATGGCATCTTTAAACTGTACTGATGATGAGATCGTCCTGGCAGCAGGAAGAAATCTAAAGTGACTGAACCGGGAATGGAGTGCAGAGCCTCGCAGGAAGACGTGTGCTGTAGACACTGGCAGGACCTGTCGGGAAGTTCTGTTAGAAGAAAAAAGATCCCGGTCATCTGGAGAGCTGAGAGAGGTGGTAATTAGTTCAAATGTAAGGAGGTGGTTATTAGTTCAAATCATTAGCTGATTTGGTTTGGACAGGTTAAGAAAAAGTCCTCTAAACAGAAGGACACTGTCGTTAGCCTGAGATCTGGCTGCCGGGAGCCCAGTGTACCTTAGATTTCCAAAGCTGGTGCAGCTAAAGCCATAAAGCTGTGCTTCCTCAGTTTACCTGGTAGAAGCTGGCTGGAAGATAACTCTGCACTGTCTGATGTAACATAATTGTCGTGGTATAGCATGGAAGAGGACTGCAGTGATATGACCTGCTGTGGTCCAGAGACCGAGGCTAACAGTGTTCAGACCATCTCCTTTTCTGTCTCCTTTCTAATGTAATGAGCCTCCTCCTAAGCCCAAACAGGATTTAAGTCTGCGTTTTAGTGAAGTGAAACATCTTCCTGGAAGCAGAGGAATATTGGGTAACACTAGAATGTTGTCACCATTTTGAAGGTATCAGTCTTCAAGAGGATGAGGCAAAGAAGAGTTATACAAGTATTTTACATGAACTGAGCTTTGGCCAACACCTGACTGATTCTGGGCATGTGTTTTTCAGCCCTGAAGGTGTTGTCTCCAATTCTACCAGCGATGCAGATTGCATGTAGGCTGGTGGAAAGTGATCTTGCCACCCTGTCTGCTTAGTTTTTCATAGGCAATGAGGCAGTTCTTGTTTCTATGGTATTTGAATTTGCCTTCAGGAAACCTTGTTAGTGTCAACAAGAGAAAAGAAGAAGTTGTGCCTGTTTTTCCTTCGGCATCAGTGTGTCAAAGAGGAGTTTGTTGGGGTGTTTTTTCTAATTAATTTTCTCATGTTTTGAATGCTACCTTCTTAAAACTTGAGTGAAGATGAAATAGTGGTTAGGAGCCAAAGGAGGGAGCTGAAAGGTCAGAGACCTTTCAAAGAGCAAGATCCTTGGCCTGGGAGAAGCACTGTCACCTTGCAGAGGATTTCTGGCACTACATGAGCAATTCTGGAGGACGCTCTTAGTTGTATGGTTTCATTTTAGGTAGTTCTGTGGGGAGCAGAGAGTAGGACTTGATGAACCTTATGGGTCCCTTCCAACTTCAGATATTCTATGATTCTATGAGTTAAGCAGGAAACTAAAGAAGCAAGGTAGTTTACCAAGGCACTAGCTGAATAGGACCACGTTGCAGTTCAGATACACACTTAAAACTGATGTGCCTTTTCTTCCCCTGTATGTGTCCTGGTGACTTAAGGATAAATAAAACTCAGTGTGGAATTCAGATCTGGTTTCCTTTTTTTTTTCCTTCTCCTCAAGTCTATTCAGAAAACAGGTCCGTGCATTGGGAAGTTTATTTTAGGAGATTTTATAATAGACTTAAAAATACCTTACATGGTTGAATTTTGTCCAGCAACAACACGTTACTCCATGTGCTAAAGATATAGGCATGTTTCATGACAAAAATGATTCCAAGAGCGTTTGCTCTCTGGCAAAGTGCTGGAAGATGCTATCGTTGCAGAAGAATGGCACAGATTAACTACAGCTGCTGGTTCTAGTTTCATCCAAACATTCATTCACTGAAAAATTCCTTTGACTGGAATAAAATGTTGAGGGAAATTGTTAGAAAAAAGAAACAAAGGAAGTTCGACCAAAATTAGAAAACCAATGCCATTTGTGGGATTTTACTTTTATATTTTTATCACAAGAGAGGAAATTTAGGTGGTTAGTTTTCAAAGGTCTCATTCTTCTGAAGGAGGACAACATCCCAAAGTGGGGAAAGATCTGCTTAACCTGAAGAGAAACAAATGCCAAAAATAATAACTGAATAAATATTTTTTTTCAGGGGGATTTGTTCTTTAAGTAGCAAACCTCCGCCAGTTTTTAACCAGCTTCATTATTTATCTGAATAGTGTTTTTCTACTTCTTCCTATCCATCAGGCAAACAGAGGAGATGCTTTGCTTTTCTCTGAAGCCAGTAGCAGCCCACCAATAAAGAATGTTCCAGTTACTTCAAGGTCAAATTTTGGTCACGTCACTAAATTCATTGATTTAGGTGGGAGCACTTTTGTACTTAATTTCTTGTTTACAGGGTCAAGAACCTACCAATAATCTCCTCAGCACCGTAGGAAATAGACACTAATATACCACATACTTGGGTCGGTGCTGAAAACAACAGGATCTCTGGTTCATCAGGCTCTCTCAGAGCTGAAAGGACACCAGCATATTCCAGCTCTTTCAGTCTGTATTGATTCTGCATTCAGTTTGAAAGATAAGGATTGTAGCTTGCGAGCAATGTACCTCAGAAAAATCTGCCTGTATGGAAAGGGCTTATTGTTGGTACACACTGATTCATTTTTGTATGAAAACCAAACCATCAGAGTAGGAAAGTAGCATAACCTGGCTCATTAAGACCATGCAGTGTCCTAACAAATCATGTTTTATAACTTTTGAAACTGTGAGAAGATGTGTCTCTGGTAGCTTTGTCACCCTAAAATGACAAAGTTTTTAAGTAGTGTAATAATGAAAATAAGAAAGCCTGAGGAAATTGGAGAAAAAAAGGGAGGAAAAAACCCCACCTTTTTTGCTGAGATTTGTAAGAAACTGTTGACGAATCCCAAATGGAAATGCAACCAAGCCTGTATTTCTGTGCCTGGTCAGCACATTTGGCTTATGCATAGCCTATTATATCATTTTAAAGTCGAGAAGAGTAATTACTGTTTCCTAAACTGATTAACTGTTCCTTAATGTCAGTGCTTAGAGAGTCATGCTGATTTAATCATGTTATCTCTTTACCTCCAGAGGAAGTATGCGCTCCATTACAAGATTGCTCTCATCATAAACTACCTGGGGCACTGTATATCAGTAGGGGCCCTTATAGTTGCCTTTATGCTTTTCTTGTGCTTGAGGTGAGTAATCTGTTTGCATGCTTCTAACTTAGTTGGGTTTGTGACACTTACCGGGTTACTCAAGCCCTCTGATAACACTGTCCAGGTTGTGTATGATCTTGAAAAACGGTCATGGCTTTTACGCTCCCAAGCATGTGCATGGTTTCATTGACTGATGCATTGGAAGAGCTGTAATGGTGGCTTCCGTGCAGAGGACATAAAGCCTATATGTATTCAGGAAAAGAAAGGTGCATGATTTATTTATGCAGTAAAATATTCTGTGAGCACATAGTGCTTCATTAAGGGAAGCTGGGATTTGAGTGTGTCGAGTTGCAAGTTCTGGGGGCAAGTTTTCTTTTTTTGTAAGGCAGTGCATGATAACATAAGGCATTTTGCATTCCTTGACAGATAATGTTGGTGAAATCTTTCCATTTTGCTTTGGGTTAATTTATCTTTTCCTTCCATTAAAGAACTTAGAAGTTCTCTTAAATAATAAGAGAAACATCTTTAGAGGAGCTTTGTCCGCACCAGTGCTCATGAAGCAATGAAAGCAAATCAACAAAACTGCGTAGAAACACTTCCCTGGTTCAGTGGTACAGCAGGATGTTTGTCAAGTCAAATGGATATGTCAGTGAAAGAAAGTCGGTGAAGAAGAGTTAGGGCTACAGGGAAAAGACAAGGGGTAGGAGGGAAGGAAACAGTGGAAAGTAATAGGTAGATGTGCATCAGTCATCGTATGTATTGTATGTATACAGCCTGAGTCACAGGAATATAGTTTAATGAGAGTGACCTAGTTGGATATTTCTCTGTTATTTGTTGGATTATCTGACTGGTATTTCTGTACTATTTGCACTGTTTTATCTAGGAGCGTTCAACCTGAACTTAGAACCAACTGCACTAAGTGCTATGCAGTGATAATACTAGAGAAAAATCTTAGACTGGTAACACATGAGAAACAGGTGGAAGACACCCCCCCCACCACCCCCCAGGATTACAGCATGATGATAGACAGTGACCTAAGTGAAAGAATTACTGCTTTCTGAGAGTGGAGCATCCCTGCAAAGTCTTATGCTGAGTCTTCCGTTTGAGCATTCCTAGCAAGAGGGTTTTTCTTATTAACAACAAGAATCTTCTTTCACCCCAGCATCTATAAACAGGATAATCCATGCTAATAGGAAGGAAAAAAAGCCTAAAACATTCAGTGGGAACAGTTATGGTGCTTTAGTTTAAACTTCCATTTCAACATTTTACTGTGCACATAATGTGAATTCCCATAGTGTTTGGAGACCTGAATTAATTTACACTGAATAAAGAATGCAAATTATTTGTGGTAACTATATTCTCTGCTTTAATGTTGAATCTTTCATAAATGCTTGTGTAAATAATGCAAAAACAATTGATAGTATGGTATATATGTATCCAGCTTCTAATAGATGTGACCTAGCAGATCTCTTTAATATTGTTTTTCTGCTATTTAAACTTTGATGTAAAGATTTAAGTTTTGCAATAAGCTTCAGCATTAAAAATGACTGCAGAAGTTCAGTACTTCCCTGTACATGCTGTGAATTAAGACAGTCCATCTTTTCAAATTTCACTGTACCCTGCAAAAAATATGTAGTGTCCAGCCAGCGTTAACCAACAGAGGCTACTTCAGTGTCTGAAGACTTATACCTGTTTTCAAAAGTTCTAAAGATGCTTTAGTGAAGGCAGTCCAGATTCAAGTTGCATTATAGATTTCCCCATCACAAATTCTGGATGATGCATATCTTCATCACACTTACCTCTTCAAAGTGTCCCAAGAGCAAATCAGTTTTGACAATTCAGTCCTATAATTTGGGGCTTTTTTTCTGTTTTAGTTTGAATGCAAGAAGATATCTGTGAATTGGGTGAAATGAGAAAATTTAGATAATTCCCAGCTATTAAAAAAAACCAACAGAAGACTATGAAGGCTTGGTTTGCTAGTCCCACATCTTGGCCCAAACTAGAAATCTGTCCGTTCCTTATTCCTGCCCCACTCCTCCCATCCACCTCACTCCACAGTTGCCTGCTGAGGGTGAAGATAGAGGAGACCTCTGGGAAGGCTGAAGTTCTACAGCTGTTCCATATTTTTATGCTCCTCACCCATCACCTGCTTGATTTTTCTTCACCGATGGAGTCCCAAAGGCAGTCCTGTCTGAAGGAAGAGACTGGAGCACACCTGCTGTATTGGAACATAACTGCTAGGAAGGCTATGGGATCTCTCACACTGGAGGTTTAAAGAGTAGGCTAAATATTTGGTTGGTGTGGCAAAGAGTATTGCTTTAGTGACCAACTATTGAGGTGGGTGTTCTTCTTTTGGAGATGAGCCTCACTGTTGCTGGCCCAGGCGAGATAGCTGCTGCATTGATGGGAAGCTTAGTCCTCAGTTGTGCTGAAGTGGGAAGGGAAAAGAACCAGACCCAGTCCCTGTTCTTCCAAATGTGTCCCATGTGATCTTGTCCCCAGTTCCTGTCCTCCTCAGTTCCTTATGCAACCCTGAGCCCTCCATTCACAATCCACCCTCCACACCAGTAGAAATGTTCTACTGTCCTAAGCGCTGAGGAACCATAAAGTGAAAGATATTTTGAGGGTCAAAAAGCTCGGATGTAGCAGCAACTGATGAAATTATCTGCCATCTGTGTTTGTGCTGCCAGGAGACCCCAACATAACTGAGAAGGGAGGAGAACTCATCCAGGAACTCTATTTTACTGCAAAGACCTACTGAAGATTTGCTTTCTACAGTTCTGTCACATATGAATCAATCTGACTTTCTGGGCTATGCAATGACAAATAAACCAGTAAACAGTTCATTTAGTGCCTAAATAATAATAAGTGAAGCCCAGCTTATGGGAGCGGACTTGATTTTTGTTGGCATGCTGACTGAATGGCACTGAGTCATTGAGATAGCTCGTAAAGATCTAAGTCAAAGATGGCTCCTCAAGGTCTAAATGTAGGTGGTCTTAAAAGTGTGAGAGCCATGCTGTCTTTACAATGCAAAACAAAACAAGCACACAACCAAAAAATATTCTGAGAAGGAAAAATGTGCAATTTGTGCATAAACCAAATGTGCTGTAGAGCTGCATTGATCTCCGATGCAGGATCTGGACAGATTTCCTCAGGGCACTTTGCAGGGCTTTGTTAAATGTATCTGCACTGCTGTGAATTTCATAGTCTGTATGTTCTCGTCAATAGTAAAAGTTTGATCCACCCCTCAGGTGCACACAGGCAGTTCCCACTGACACAGCTCTCCTCGTCCCACATAATCACATGCTTGCACTAGTAAAGCAGAAATGTTATGTAGATGATTAGTAACGCCAATCAAGCTGAAGATAAAAAAAGAGAAAAAGCCAAAGGATTAAAACACTTTTGCTCTTTTGAATATTATTTTTGCTTTACTGTTGCTGACAGTGCAGAAACCCAAATTGCTTTGTCCTGGCTTTTTCCTTGTTAGTGTGCTGTTATACCAACCTCTGAGGTGGAGTAGGAGCCCGTTGTAAAGCTCTTGACTTGTTATCAAACAAGGTGCTGGCAGTGGCCAGCAGTGATCTGAGTGGATTCAGTCAGAAGATGTTTTATTTGTGCAGTAGTGACCAAAGGAGAAGTACGGGAAGACAGAATTTGTTCTGGGAAACATCTACATCCCTGCTGAGTTTTGAATCCAATAAAGAAGGATAGAGCTGCAAGGAAGATAGGCTGAATATTAAAAATGACATGTCCTTCTGCACAGGTTGCTCGTTAAAAGCCCCTCTAAAAAAAACAAACCCACAAACACTGGTGTAACGTCTTTCGTCACTAGTATGGCAGTAATGAAAGCAAATTGGTGATCTGAGGGAAACTTTGCTTTCCTGTTGCCCCTAAATTTACGTCTATTTCCCCATTAAAACATGTGATTTTATTTTCCTCATAGGCCTGAGGCAGTGTCCCTTTTCTTTCTTGTAGTTACAGCCAGATTTCCTGCATCTCACTTATTTTTTCTCCCAAAAGACTGAAATATTTTTTTCTTGAAACAACATGGTCACTTTTTTCTTACACACACACACACCCCCCCCATCTTCCGCATTTTAGGAGAGAAGGACCTACTTTCTTTTATCTTCCCCTGTTCCAAGCTCCTTTGACTTGCCGCTTGATCTTCAGTCTGGTGTGCAGTTCGTGAGACTGCTGCTGCAGGTCTCTGTTAGTAAGAATGGAAGAGTTTGATTAAATTATTGGTAGAAAACTGTCAGAAGAAGTGTAGAGCATCCATACCGAGCAGGTTGATCTTACACCTATCAGAGCCTATGTGATGGAGAGGACCTTGTCCAGGTGGGTCTTGAATATCTCCAGAGAAGGAGACTCCACAACCTCCCTGGGCAGCCTGTTCCAGTGCTCCGTCACCCTCAGAGGGAAGAAGTTCTTCCTCATGTTCAGACGGAACTTCCTGTGCCTCAGTTTGTGCCCATTGCCCCTTGTCCTGTCACTGGGCACCACTGAAAAGAGCTTGGCCCCATCCTCCTGACACCCACCCTTCAGATATTTATAAGCATTTATTAGGTCCCCTCGCAGCCTTCTCTTCTTCAGGCTGAACAAGCCCAGCTCCCTCAGCCTCTCCTCGTAGGGGAGATGTTCCAGTCCCCTCATCATCCTTGTACATCAAGTGGGTAGGTGATTGGCACAATTAGTACTGGTTTAAACTTAAAGATCACGTGATATCTGGTGTGATCAGAGCAGAGCAGGCTCCAGATCTAAGGCATAGTCCTCCCATACATACCTTTCTGTCATGGAGCAAAAAAAAAAGAGCAAGTCCCAGGACAGGGCATCCACTAACGGAATTAACAAGTTCATGTTTGTGTTCCGTTTTCCCCTCCATCTCCTGGCTTTCCACGTAGCCTAGTTAAATCTATTCCATCTGCCACTTAGAATAGCAGAGCCTTAAATAATGATTCAGGCACATGGCATTATTTAAACTTCATCATAAATAAACTACCGTTGCAGAGCATGTGTTCGGTGGATGCAATGGCTGTTGG